ATGGGATTGTAAGTAATTTTCAAAAAAGTTTATTGAAAAATAACTTGGTTTGGAACGGTCCCTCCTGCTGCATTCAGGGAACTTCCCAGAGAGTCAGCGACGCATCAGGGCACAGCTGAGGCCCTCTGTGTACCTTTGTCAGTTTTTCTTTCCATCTGGCCTTGGTATATGACAAGTCACTCTAGAAAATGTAGGTGATATTCTTGCAAAATAGCAATAATGCCCGCTTTTATGTCCTTTTCAGCAATAAAATGTATGAGATACAACCTAATCAAGGAAATAAGCAGAAAATTTGTCTGCAGGAAAAGATATATCTTAACATCTGGTAAAAAGGTGTCTATTTTCTCAAAATTCATGCCAGAATCTTTCAAGGCATTTTCCAGTTTGTTTTTGAATTTGTTGAACGTCCATCACTTGAGAAAGGGCATCTGCGTTGGTGCAGGACCTGGTATAAGAAAGGCAGCCCGGACACTGTCATTAATTTGTGCACCACAATTTATATTCTTTATAGTAGTAAGAACAGAGAAATGTAGTGCATGTTTATGGTTTAGGGACATGAGTTTATATCTGCAGAGAATAGTAATACTAGGGCCATTGCTGGTCTTTGTAAACAGAGCCATTGTGTAAATTAAGAACAGGTTCTCCTTTGAGAAGAAAAATTGGGAAAAAAGCTTGAGGTGTGTTTCAGTCGCCATTTGTCCTGTTGGCTTGTTAGCTTTGGGCTGTATGCCATCTACAGCTCTATATGCAGAAGCCCTTAGAAATGGGCACAATTAGGCAACAAAGCCAATTTTACTCTCAGTGGTGTGTAAAGCTGATGGAAAGTAAAGTGAGCCCAGAAAACTATTTAAATCTGCATTTGCTTCTTTCTCCCCGCAAGGATGATTTATTCACATCTACATTCTAGACACTAAGTAAAGCCTCGAATGGGTTTAAGGGGTAGCAAGTTCCAGGAGACCATTGCTCCCATCCTCAAAGTGAAAACAATTCATGTAAGTTACAGGTTCATACGGATTTTAAAAAGCAATCTAGAGCTGAGGACACAGGGAAGCCTAAATGAGCCAAATTCTAGTGAGAGACAAGCCCTTCCTAGAAGAGAAGAGCCTGTGGCTACTTTGGTCCCTGGCATATTTCTCCTTTCCTCAGCATACAGGAGGATGTGGTACCCAATGTCTTTTAGACTTTCATCCATGTGTGGCTGACATGGGGGTTGGGAATTCTGGGGATTCTCAGCCATAGGGTGAATCCCACCCATCCACCAAATATTTCCTATGGGACCTTCACTGAGTGCCTGGTGACAGCACCTAGGCTGAGGGTAGGGCAGGAGGGGTGAGTGAGCACCCCCAGGTGCACAGAACCTTTAGGGGAGCTCATGGCAGGCGTACTGGAGGAGCGCGGGGCACAGAGCTGTGGGTGGCCCTGCGGCACACAGGCCTCTATGACTGCGAGGCGGTCGCAGATCCAGGCCCACCCCCGTTGAGGCGGGATGCAGCGAGGTCTCCTCGTTCGGGAAGCTGGCTGTGGCTCGTGAAGCCCTGAGAGATGCTCAGAATCCTCCAGCTCTGATCTAAGCCCTGCTGCAGGCGGGTCTGGATCCTGCCCCCAAAGTATCTGAAGCCAGAGGGGAACCGAGTCTAATTAAAGCTGCCACAAAGTCCAGCCTCAGCCTAATTCCAGATATATTTGACTCAGCCTCCCACCCATTTCAGGGGCTTCAAGGGTGAATATTATCTATTTCATTCTCAATTATTCTTTTACATGGAATGAACAGAATGAAATTTTTAAAATTAGACAAGCGAAGAGTCATGAAAATGTGATTCATTATCCAGAGAAAAATTTGTCAACAGAAGCAGATCCAAAGACATAATTACGGTATTAGGAGGTGTTGGCTGTGAAATAACCATAACACGTGTTAAAGGATATAACGGGAAAGGTGAAGGTGAACAATATGTATATACAGATGTGGAGAATTTCAGCAGAGCAATGAAAACCCTAAAAAGAAACGATGCAAATTCTAAGAATGAAATAAGACATAGCCATTTTATATTTGTGTACACTTAATAGCAGAGCTTTAAAATAAATGAGAAAAATACTGACGGGAGTCAGTCTTTGTTGGAAAAAATGTATGAATTCATAACCAGAACTGAAGATGTTTAACATCCCTCTCAGTAACTGATAAGAGAAGTAGTCACAATTCATGAAGATGTAGGCGATAGGGATATAACTATGAATCAACTTAACACAATAGAGCTTTGCACACAAAACCAGATATATTTATAAACATTTACCAGAATCAACCATGTGCTAGGTGATAAAAAAAGTCTCAGTCAGTTTTAAAGGATTGACATCGTAGAAAGTATTTTCTCCGACCATGAATGCTAGAAATCAACAACAATATGATATTGAGAGAAGCTCAAATGGGAAAATACGCCACAAAAAATCTGTGAGTCAAAGAAGATATCACAAGGGAAATTAGAGAGACTATGTAGAGTTGAATGGTGATGAAAATGTAATGCGCTGAACTTCATGAGCAATGAAGCAGTGCTTCCGAGGAGATGCATGGCTGGGTCTACTCAGACCTTTTTTTGCTATTTCCCCTTTCTAACTAACTTTGAGGTTTAGAATTGAAGAAAAGAGCATCTTAAACCCAAAATAATTGAAGAAAGAAAGTAATAAGAGCAGAAATCAATGAAATAAAAATGAGACACGCAATAGAGAAGCCAGTGGGGAACTTTTGACCAAATCAAAAGTGGATATGTTCATCAGATTTACACAACGGATAAACCCCAAGTTAGATTAATTAATAAAAAAGAAACGAGGCACAAGTAATCAGCATGAGAAAATTTAAAAGGACAGATCAATAGATTATAGACAAGATAAAGATGAATGTGAAATACTGTGAAAAACCTAAGCCAGTAAAGCCAGCAGTAGAAGTGAAATGTACAAATTCTCCCACTCAAATGAACACAAAAAGAAAGAAAATCTGAAAACATGTGTATATTTAAATTAAAAAAAAAAGATTACTCAATAAAGCCAATTTGAGGCCTTGCTGATTTCACTAGGGAATTCCAGCAGAGATTTAAAAGGAAATACCACCATTATTGCACATCTTCCTTCTAAAGATGGGAGGAGAAGGAAGCACTTCCCAATATTTTTGAGGCCAGAAATCTGACAGGGTAATTATTGGAAAGGAAAGTACAGATCTTCGTAATTTATAGACATGGTGCTACAAACAGGCCAGTGGGTTTTTGGTGGATTAATTTATGGAAAGAGGACCTTTTCTGGGGATGGTAAAGCCCGGCTGTTTGACTGTCTCGGTGGCCACAGGGAGCCCCTGGGTAATGATGCATGTAGGCTGCTCTGCTCAGCGCTTCCGTATCAGGGCAGTGACTGCACGGCGTGTGTGGCGGAGTTCCCGAACGCGGAGAGGATCGGCGGCCCAGGGCGCGCTTCGAACAGTCAGGGTGCGGTGAGTCAGGACTGAACTCAATATTTTGCCTCTTCGTTTATGCTTTTCCAAGAAACAACAGTTAGTTCTCTGTGACAGTATCTTAACCTCAGAAAACTCCTACTGTACAACTTTGGCTGTTGAGATCTCTGAAATACCTGTATTTTTTCTGAATATGAACTTTTTAGGCTCAAAATTGCAAGACGGCCTTGAACACACAATTATAATTTTATAGCAATGCATGCGTTGAGAATTCTGAGTTAATTAAGATTCACCCAATTATCTGAATTAAAATATTTTGGGTGCTTTCACTGTTGGGTTTTGGGGCACCCCCGTAAGTGCCACCCTAACCCCTGGATGTGGAGCAGGCCCCTCAGTGGGCCCCGCATCATGATACCCGCCACGTGACACTGTTCTGTTTATACGTCTGCCGTGCCTATCAGTAGCCTCAGAGCTTTCCTGCTTGTGGGTGGTGGAGAAATTGTGTCTTACTCGTCTTGCATCCCAGTGTTTATTATAGTGTCTGACGCTCAGGAGTCAGTCAATAAGTACTTACTGGATGACTGAACACATAGGACAAATGCCTCAGGAGAGAGAGCCACCCCCGAGCTGCCACATCCCTACAACTCCATTGATGCATTGATTAATAATTCGTCTGGAAAAAAGATCCTTTATGATGGAGTTGATGATATAAAAGGAATATTTTCATGGTGCTCTTGGATGCAGCATTGTTCAGCTTGCTTAACCGCCAATACACTGTACAGCGTAGAGACTGTGTCAGTTTTGTTTGTTGTGCAATTGATAGCAATTTGGAGTGTTTGGCACATTCTTGTTGCCTGGTTTGTTGAATGAATGAATTCATTGTTGTGTCAGTTACATAACACATGTACAGTTCTGCAAACATAAAGTGAATATATGTATAAATTCAGATGTACCCATCTTTTTCTTCATTGTCTGTGATTTTTGTGTCTTATTTAACAATTCCTTCTTTAACCCCAGGGCATTGTCTTCTATTTTTTTTGGTAAGATTTTAGGATTTGCTTTTTACATATGGATACTTAACTCATTAAAAAAATCAGTTCTATTTATGGTACGACATAGGTATGAGTTTTATATGGAATATAAAATATGCAAATATTTGCATCATCAGTTTTCCCAGCACCCTTGTTGAAGAGCTTAGCATTTCTTCTCTGGTTTAGACTGTCAATGTCCTATATACTAATAGGTTGTTGTCTGTCCTCTTTATTTTCTTCCATGATCTGTGTTGGCACTGATATCACAGTGTTTCAATTATTACAGTTTTATGGTAAGTCTGGATATCTAGTAAGGAATTTTTTCATTCTTTTCTTGATCTTTCTTTCTGAGAAGTTTAAAAAAAGCAAATTTCTGTTTTCTTGAAACTCATTAGTTTTATTCCATTTTACTAACTTATTATCTAATAAGTCTGGCCTTTATTTTTAAAGCTTAGTCAAAGTTTTTAACTTCTTGAGGCATTTACTTTTCATCTCCTTTTATTAATGCACAAATTTCCCCTTTTTTGGTCCCACTTTAGATGTCTATGATACAATACACAGCTTGTCCTTCAGCCCTGAACGTCACCTGCATGAATAACTCATTAACTCGTGAGTCCATTTTTAGGTCTATGTATGTTGCTGATTTCTAATTACTTGAAGTGTTATTCTGAGAATCTGATCTGAATGTGTAACTTAAAATCTTAACAGAAAACAGACACCACGTTCCAGTGGGTGATTGAGGAAACTTGAATGAAGAGGCTTCTTACAAATGGGTCAGCAGGGTTTCTGGAAACCAAGAAGAAATACTTGAACTCAAAACTCAGCAAGAACGGGAAGTCATAGCCCCTGCCGGGCCTGGAGGGTACGGAGAGGGAAGGCTGACCCCAGCCCAGGGGCAGAAGAGTCGGAGGAGAGGGTCTCATGACAGCGGCTGTGGTCTCGGGAGAGAAACTCACTCAGCTGATAGCGACCCACGCAGAGGAATCTGGGGAGTAAGTATTCGGATTCACCTGTTTCCCAGCCCAGTCTCCAGCTTATACTTCCCGGGAATACGAACCAGCCAGATGCCCACGGCAAGGGGCACAGGCGACAGGCCGGCTAGAGAGCGGGCTTGGCTGGTGTGATGAAAGTGGCCCGTGCAGTTCTTTCTATCCCTCAGAGCGTTTGCTTATCTATCTGTCATTCAAGTGAAAATAAATGTGTTTTCAGCACAAAGCTCCACGAGCTGCCATTTCACTAAGGAGTGATATCAGTACTTGAAACGAAAGTATTAGCCTCCACCGTCTTCTTAATAAAGTCAGTGGGAGTAAAGATGGAGAAAATGAAAGATGAACTAACATAAAACTTAGCTGATGCACCTGTCTCTGGGGTGTGTCAGGTGCCTGAGTCGGTAAGGATAGCTGTCGATTTTTACTATTAATTTCCTGTTCCCTTTATGCGCTTCCTGCACCTCAGCTGGGTGGTGCCAGGGTGCGGTGAGTCAGGACTGAACTCAATATTTTGCCTCTTCGTTTATGCTTTTCCAAGAAACAACAGTTAGTTCTCTGTGACAGTATCTTAACCTCAGAAAACTCCTACTGTACAACTTTGGCTGTTGAGATCTCTGAAATACCTGTATTTTTTCTGAATATGAACTTTTTAGGCTCAAAATTGCAAGACGGCCTTGAACACACAATTATAATTTTATAGCAATGCATGCGTTGAGAATTCTGAGTTAATTAAGATTCACCCAATTATCTGAATTAAAATATTTTGGGTGCTTTCACTGTTGGGTTTTGGGGCACCCCCGTAAGTGCCACCCTAACCCCTGGATGTGGAGCAGGCCCCTCAGTGGGCCCCGCATCATGATACCCGCCACGTGACACTGTTCTGTTTATACGTCTGCCGTGCCTATCAGTAGCCTCAGAGCTTTCCTGCTTGTGGGTGGTGGAGAAATTGTGTCTTACTCGTCTTGCATCCCAGTGTTTATTATAGTGTCTGACGCTCAGGAGTCAGTCAATAAGTACTTACTGGATGACTGAACACATAGGACAAATGCCTCAGGAGAGACAGCCACCCCCGAGCTGCCACATCCCTACAACTCCATTGATGCATTGATTAATAATTCGTCTGGAAAAAAGATCCTTTATGATGGAGTTGATGATATAAAAGGAATATTTTCATGGTGCTCTTGGATGCAGCATTGTTCAGCTTGCTTAACCGCCAATACACTGTACAGCGTAGAGACTGTGTCAGTTTTGTTTGTTGTGCAATTGATAGCAATTTGGAGTGTTTGGCACATTCTTGTTGCCTGGTTTGTTGAATGAATGAATTCATTGTTGTGTCAGTTACATAACACATGTACAGTTCTGCAAACATAAAGTGAATATATGTATAAATTCAGATGTACCTATCTTTTTCTTCATTGACTGTGATTTTTGTGTCTTATTTAACAATTCCTTCTTTAACCCCAGGGCATTGTCTTCTATTTTTTTTGGTAAGATTTTAGGATTTGCTTTTTACATATGGATACTTAACTCATTAAAAAAATCAGTTCTATTTATGGTACGACATAGGTATGAGTCTTTTATATGGAATATAAAATATGCAAATGTTTGCATCATCAGTTTTCCCAGCACCCTTGTTGAAGAGCTTAGCATTTCTTCTCTGGTTTAGACTGTCAATGTCCTATATACTAATAGGTTGTTGTCTGTCCTCTTTATTTTCTTCCATGATCTGTGTTGGCACTGATATCACAGTGTTTCAATTATTACAGTTTTATGATAAGTCTGGATATCTAGTAAGGAATTTTTTGTTTCATTCTTTTCTTGATCTTTCTTTCTGAGAAGTTTAAAAAAAGCAAATTTCTGTTTTCTTGAAACTCATTAGTTTTATTCCATTTTACTAACTTATTATCTAATAAGTCTGGCCTTTATTTTTAAAGCTTAGTCAAAGTTTTTAACTTCTTGAGGCATTTACTTTTCATCTCCTTTTATTAATGCACAAATTTCCCCTTTTTTGGTCCCACTTTAGATGTCTATGATACAATACACAGCTTGTCCTTCAGCCCTGAACGTCACCTGCATGAATAACTCATTAACTCGTGAGTCCATTTTTAGGTCTATGTATGTTGCTGATTTCTAATTACTTGAAGTGTTATTCTGAGAATCTGATCTGAATGTGTAACTTAAAATCTTAACAGAAAACAGACACCACGTTCCAGTGGGTGATTGAGGAAACTTGAATGAAGAGGCTTCTTACAAATGGGTCAGCAGGGTTTCTGGAAACCAAGAAGAAATACTTGAACTCAAAACCCAGCAAGAACGGGAAGTCATAGCCCCTGCCGGGCCTGGAGGGTACGGAGAGGGAAGGCTGACCCCAGCCCAGGGGCAGAAGAGTCGGAGGAGAGGGTCTCATGACAGCGGCTGTGGTCTCGGGAGAGAAACTCACTCAGCTGATAGCGACCCACGCAGAGGAATCTGGGGAGTAAGTATTCGGATTCACCTGTTTCCCAGCCCAGTCTCCCGCTTATACTTCCCGGGAATTCGAACCAGCCAGACCCCCACGGCAAGGGGCACAGGCGACAGGCCGGCTAGAGAGCAGGCTTGGCTGGTGTGATGAAAGTGGCCCGTGCAGTTCTTTCTGTCCCTCAGACCGTTTGCTTATCTATCTGTCATTCAAGTGAAAATAAATGTGTTTTCAGCACAAAGCTCCACGAGCTGCCATTTCACTAAGGAGTGATATCAGTACTTGAAACGAAAGTATTAGCCTCCACCGTCTTCTTAATAAAGTCAGTGGGAGTAAAGATGGAGAAAATGAAAGATGAACTAACATAAAACTTAGCTGATGCACCTGTCTCTGGGGTGTGTCAGGTGCCTGAGTCGGTAAGGATAGCTGTCGATTTTTACTATTAATTTCCTGTTCCCTTTATGCGCTTCCTGCACCTCAGCTGGGTGGTGCCATTTTACCGGGCAGGCTGTTTGGAACTTTGATTTCGTTACTTTCGGAGCCCCCGGTGTCCCCACCTCCAAGGGGTTGCTGCAGGTTCTGATGCCCAGGGCTGCTGGCGCAGGAGCGCTGGGCCACCAGGGACTCTCCTGAGTTCAGGCATCTCCCCTGTCCCCCGGGGGGGCAGTCAGCTGCTGTTCCCTTGGTTCGGCTGGGCCTTCCTCTCATGGCTCTTGACTGAGCAGCACAAGGAGATTGCACAACCACGGGGGGCAGCTTGCAGTTCACCCCGATCACCTCTGCCTTGGACGTTAGGGCCAGCACGTGCTCAAGGTGTGAAGACAAGAAACAATATCCTTGGTGGGTCATTTGCAGCAATAGTAAAAGAGCTTCCCAGCCCCCATTTGTTCCAGACCAGCGCATTCTAGCTATGGGGGCATGGCTCCGTCTATAGCTACTGAGGTAAAAGCCTGGGTGGGGCCTTCTGCCTTTCAGTAAGCATCTGCGCCGTGTCCCGGGGTGCACCGCGTAGGATTGGTGAACCCCGCAGGCATAGCCCACTGCTGCACTTTCTTTGGTGCGGCAGGAACCCCTCATTAGAGGCAATGTTAGATGGGGTGCTATGCTGAACAAATAGGCACTTGGTAAGTTCACAAACAAGGGTGGCGGGTGGAGCAGAAGCAAATCTCCACCCAGAGTGGGAGTCTTTCCTGGTGATGATGAACAGCCACACCTCCCATCATGGAAAGAGTCCAGCATCGTCAGCCGAACACTAGCACCGACTGGTCTCTGTGGAAAAGGCACCAGATCAGAGGGTCTGCCCCAGCCTCCGCCCTGGGAGACTGGCCACTGCCCAGGGAGGTGCCACGAGGAGGCTTCTGTGGTGGCCGTGACTGCTCTCTGCTTGTCTGGCAGAGCGATCAGCAGGCAGTGGAGAGACCCTCTGCAAGATGCTTTGTCGTGTCCACCTGGGGACCGAGGGCCTGCATCCCCCTGGGTAGCTCTGTCCCTGGCCCATCCGGTTGTCTGTTCCCAGCCTCCATGAGTCAGATCTTCGTGGGAGGGGTGGGGACTGGGACACCGCTCTCACTGACAACTTGCCATTCACCGCCCCCCTCTTCTTTCTTTCCAGCTTCTTCGACATGCTGTCAGCTCACCAAGGGCAGGAAATACCTTTGTGTTCTGTCCGCCTGAGGGTTTCAGCCCTGGGCAAGTTCACTATGGATTCAGTGAGACTGAGGAACCACAATGGGATGCTCTTGGGGTGAAAGGGTTTATTATCTGGCTTGTTTTCCTGGTGATAGGTCGAGCACTAGAATTATATCTGCATCCAGCAGTCTGCAGGTCTATAACCCACCCCCATCTCTGCCTCCACCCAGAGCCCTGGGCAGAGCTCTTTATATAGTGACTCAGTCAATAATAGCTCACTGCCTGAGGGTGTGGGAGCACTAGCCTAGCAGCAGACCAGTTACATCAAGTAGTTTAGGGTCAGGTGAGGATCCTGGCCACAGGAACTTCTATTTTCCACATAATTCCTAGTGTCCTTCACTGTGCTGGCCACACAGAGCTCAAATAAATGTTTGAGAAATAATTAGAAAAGGAATAGCCCATGAACTCTGCAGCTGAGTGTAAGAATGGAACCCATGAGAACCAGCTCTGTCAGGGGGGTTTATTGTCATGTTCTCTGGGAGATGCATGCAAATACCTACTTTGGGGGAAGTAGGTCTTTTCATAGGCCCATGCTTCCATAAAGTCATTTCTTAAATACATATAAAATTTTAATATATGTAATTTCAGTCTTGTGAGGCAGGCAGAGCAAATATTACTTTTCTAAGGTTTTAGTTGGAGGATGAGAAAATTGGGCCTCAGAGGGGTTAAATGATTGCCAAGGTCACACAGCTGATACAGGATAGTGCTTGGCAAGAAATGGGGTCTCCCAGCGCTGACTTAAATGTCCTTTCTTCACTGCACCTCGGACCCCATGACTGTGCACGATGCCTGCCATGTGTGTCTCTGACCTCTGCTCCAACAATGGATGCAGCAGATGCCTTTAAATTTGGGCTTAAGAAAGACAGCCACTAACTGGGTGAAATGAAGTGGTTCAAAATGCACTTTGAGTTACTTCACCTGGAGATACACTACTGCCAGGTGAATAAAATGAATATGTAGAAACCTCTGCCAATGAATAGCATATGGCTTTTGGGCAAGCAGGTAAATTCAAGGAGATTGTCTTTCCCAGCTATGCTTAAAAAGTTTAGTACATGAATAATTGAGCAACTTCCTGGCACCCTCAATATTTATTTGTAAGCCTGCTCAAGGCAGAAAAAGAGAAAAATTGTTTTGAAAACAAGTTTTGCATTAGCTAGGATTTTCTTTGTTTGCCAGATGATCACATAATTACATTTGCCAAGGAACATATTGGTGTGTCTCATTATTTTCTTGATATATTGATGTGACATATATCAGACAAATTGGAAGGGGAAGGGTAAAAACCTAGGTCATCGTGTGCATGGGTGTGCTGCGGGACGTGAGAGCAGAGCCTGCGAGGATCTGCTTACACGTCTATCACGGTCCTGACTACAGCCTTCCAATGCTCAGTGTCTGAACTATTTCTGCACTTGGGTTTTCTCTCCAGGTGGGCGAGTGGCCAGCCTGGAAGGGCTACTGAGCTCTGCAGGAAGTGGAGGCTCCATAGATGTTGAGTGAATGTTTCCTATTCCAACATGTTCCAACGTCATCTTTATTAAGTCTGGGTAATGGGCAGGTAAAGAGTCGAGAGCATGCCGACTGCCGTCAGTCCGTGCGGGTAGGAAGTCCCATCCCGAGGAAGTTAGTGCTGCCTGAGAATGTCTGCTTGTCCTTCAGGTACCAGCTGGCACACTGCAGCTAAGAGGTCCAGGCGAGAAAGCTGTTGGTACCACTCTGCTTGCCCATCACATAATTCTCTCATTTCCTCTCTCTCTTGTACTGTCTAGCCTGCATGTTTGGTACAATAGGTTTCCATTGAAAAATGAACCTTGGCTCTGTGTTTTTGATACAGGTATTTACTCCAATTAGGTAAGCTGGCATTTGGCTTTTTCCTTTAATCTAAATTAAGGTTCCCCTAAGCTTGGCAGACAAAGAGAGTAAGTAGGAGGCAGATTAGCAGCCTTTCCTATCAATTATACTTTCTAGAATAAATAAATAAATATTCATGCCGACTATTTTTCTTCCGGTCTCCCCCATGCATATTTCACCTTTTGGTCTTCTCTGCATGGGGAGCGGGTGTGTGGGTGCGTCTCTGTGCTTGCTTGTTGGGAGGCCACACCAGGCGCGCCTGCGGGCCTGGCCGGGGCGGGTCTGCGCGGCAGCTTCCCTGGCATTTGGCTCCTGGTTCCTGCAGGCTTCAGTTCTGTCGAGTGGCCCCCTCCACAGCCCCAGCTCTGCTAGGACCCACTGTTTCTTCTTCTTGGCCCTCTGTAAAAATTAGGAAAGCAAAGGAAAGTAGAAAAAGCAACCACTGTTAATTAGTGTTAACTTTATATGTACTTAAAAAAAAGAAGCCTATTAAAATAATGGGAAGAAAATACATCAAAATATTAAAGTGTGGCAAAAAATTATTATATCCATCATTTTATGGCTGTGTAATAGTCCATAGAACTGATGAATCATCGTCTATAAAGTATCTACCCTACCGTTGTATATTTAAATGATCTGCAGGTTTTCCATTATTAAAAGATGTACTTAGTAATTACATGGCTCTGTGCATCCCCACCCCCGACGATATCCTTGGAATCTCAGGATAGACTCTCAGAAAATGCTGTCACTGAATGAGAAGGTGTGTTTTCAGAGCTGTTGCTGACCCATTGCCAAAGCAAGGGCCAATTTATTGCAGGCTACCAGCTGACCTGTGGTGTGACAGAGCCCAGCGGTGGGAGAAGTGGAGCCGAGAAGGGGTCAGGGCTCGGTGGGCGAGGCAGGAAGCCGTCAGGTGGACAGCCAGGCCCCGGAGCCTTGCAGATGGGGTCCTTCAGCGCCCTGTGCCTGGGCTCCGGTACCCCTGGGGCTTTCTCCTCCTGAGCTGAGCTCGAGGTCTGCCCTGTCTATCCTATCTCCGTGGGTTTTCCTGTTACTCTCAACATGATATGCTTTTTGAGAACCTTCTAGCACTTACTATCATCTGGGATGACCTTCTTATTCCCCTTCTGTTGATTATTGTGTCCAAATGGACAGGGTCGGGGACTCTATCCCTGCTCCATCTGTGTCCCTGACCCACGGCCCTTCCTGGAGCCCTCCCAGGAGTTAGCCATGCCCACTCCCCACGCTTATGGCCACACTGCTGGCTCAGGGTTGCCGTGACCTGCGGTTGGGCAGGGGCATATGACAACTGGGCAGGGGCTGGTGGGCAGCAGTGCGCACAGCAGGTGCCTTCCCAGCCGCCAGTTCCCCTCGTACAGGGTCCTTCCTGGCAGTTACTCAGAGCCATGTTCAGATGGGAATGTCTTTTCCTCCAACCTTGCAAAGCCCTGAGCCTCCTGAGCCTCCTGAACTTGAAGGTGCCCTAGGGGGGTTGCCTGCCCCCCGGGCATGATGATGCTCTGATCTAATCTGTCCACAACCCGGTGCCTATTTCTGACAACAGAAAAGTAACCCCACCCAGGCCCCAGCAGCGGGTGTACAGATTTACCTTCAAAGTTGTTGCTGCCAAAATTTGGCTTTAGAATTGTGGATGGCATCGTTTGGGATACAGGACCCACTCAGCAAGTGAACTTGGGTTTTGTAACTCAGTTGCTTTATCTGTAAAATAGGACTAACCGAAATTCCCAGCCTTCCAGGAAATCTTTGAAAAATACAAATGTGGTCATGTCACTCCTTTTCTTAGTCCACCTTGCTGCTCCTATTTTCTGGAGGATAAGAGTCCAGCTCCTTTGCACAGTGAGGGACAGACTGGGCAGTGACTGGACGGATCTGGGAGGCACAGGTGCCTGCTTCACCAGCTGGGAAGACCCATTACTTAGGTCTCAACCTACATGTCACTTCCTCCTGGGGCCTCGTCTATCCAGGGGGCCCCAGGAGGAGCCCCACTCCGTGCCTCTCAGCAGCTGTACCCCTCCCAGCACCACGACCTATTCTGGAAAGTTCTCTGGAGTCTGCCTCCCTGGCCGTTCTGCAGGCACTGCTGCGGTCTCCAGCTCCAGCTCCGTCCTGTAACCTGAACAGGGCCCGCACAGGGAGTATACTCAGCAAGTGTCCAGTGAGTGGACAAACGATGGGCCACCGCAGCCAGGTGGTGGGGTGGGGGGACTTCTGGGGGCTCCGTTCAGGACCAGGGGCTCTCAGCTCCCAGCAGTCCGGCTGGAACTCCCCGTCCATTCCCTGCACTCGCTCACTCTTTCTCAGCTCCCTCTCCTACTTTAACTTTCTCCTTCGCACGCAGATCTCTCAGATTATTCTTGGTCAAGCCGTCCAGCTCCTGGCTCGCACCAGCGGGCCACTCAGTAAAGCGCATGCCCGGCCATCTGCACCACCCCATGTGCCACATCATGTGGAGTTGGGTCCTTCTGGCCTTGGGACAGGGTGCTCAGCACTTCTTTCTCTGCATACCTGCATCTCCAGAAGACCATTTCCCAGAAGGATCAGCGCTTTGTTGTGGCTGCAATTCTCAGGAAGACTGAAAAAACCTAAGCCCCTGAGAGGGACTTCTCAGAATCAGGGAATTCTGCACTGACCCTTCATCTGAGAATTTCTGCTGTGTTTTCCTAGAAGCAGAATCTACATTCAGAGTTTATGTCATGTGTTTGGAGGCAATGAGAGGTGGTCAAGTGCCTTCATTTCTCTCTGATGCAGGAGCGAATATAATAAGGCTTTGCAAGGGAGAAATATTCTTGATACAGTGAAGTAACTTTATTTGTAATTTTTATATATTGATTAATAAAATTGCATTGCTTTTTTCTAGCAGGATTTAAAGTCTGATGCATCTAAGATGTTCTCCAGTGTATGAAGCCTCAGCAGCCTAGCAGCTTCTTCTGCTCACCAGCCAATATCCTTTCCCACCCTGCTGGCTAGAGCAAGGGTCCCATCAAAACTGTGCCCCAAGGCCCTGCCTGGCTGCTGTGCTGATTGGTATTGGACTGGGTCACCCTGGCACTCCAGGTTTTTTCTCCCATTCTGACTGGGAATTTTTCTTAAAAATCAGTTTTATTGAGACATATTGTACATGCAATGAAGTTCATCGATTTCAGTGTATAATTTGATGAATTTTGGCAAGGGTGTATGTTGTGTGACTACCCTCACAGCTATCATATAAGATGCACTCAGTTCTTCCCCACTACCACCAGGTCCCTGGCACCCACTTATAAGCTTTTTGTCACTACAGTTGAAACCTTTTCTAGAACTTTATAATGATGAAACCACATCTATAGCTTATTCCTTTTTAATGACTAAGCAGTATTCCACTGAACTTCAATAGCTTTGTTCATTCACCAGTTCAAGAACCCCTGAATTTTTTCCATGACTTGTCCACAATGAATAAAACTGAGGTGAATACTCACATAAAGTCTATGCAAAATGTTTTAATTTCCCCTGGGCACATACCTAGACATGTGATTGCTGGACCACACAGCATGTGCTTATTCCATGTTACACTAAACTGCCAAGCCATTTTCATAGGTAATTGTATAATTTAGTGATCTTTCCAACAAGTGTGAGACTTTCAGTTGCCCTACATCCATTTCTTCTTGATTGAGCTTTGGTAAGTTAGTCATGCAAGAAATTTGTCTATTTTATCGAAGTTTTTGAGTTTTAAAAATTGTTCATCGTATTCCCTTAGTATCTTTCTAGAGAATGTAGGAGGCATAGTGACAGCTTCTCCTTTATTCCTGAACAGTTTGGTAATTTGTTTCTTCCTGCTTTTTCTTGAACAGTCTGACTTGAGTTTTACCGACTTTATTTCTCTGTTCAAAAAATCAGTTTTTGGTTTCACTGATTTGTCTATTGTTTTTTCCTGTTTTTCATTTCTTTGTTTTATCCTTAGTGTTATTCTTTCCTACATTACCCTTATTTTGGATTTCTTTTGTCTTCTCTTTGTTTCTTAATGTAGGGTTGGTGATTTGAGATCTTTTCTTCTTTTCTAATGTAAGCATTCTGCATTCTACACATTTTTAGATCTAGTGTTTTCATTTTCATTCAGTTTAAAATATTTTCTAGTTTAATATGTGACTTCTTTTTTGACCCAGGCATTATATAGGAATATGTTATTTAACTTCCAAATACTTGGGATTTTCCAGGAATCTGTTGCTGACATTGTTTGATTCTGTTGTTATCAGATAACATGATCTCTGTGATTTTGATTTTCTTAAACAGGGGCCAGTGAACTTTTTCTGTAAAGGGTCAGATGGCAAAGAGCTTAGGTTTTATGAGCCTTTATATATTCTCTCTACTCTCAACTCTGCCATTGTGGTGCAAAAGCAGCCAGAGCACTAGACTGGCCAATGGCATGCACCTTCCTGCCCTTGAACGCACTGGTAGTTGTTACATGCCATTCGATATAATCTCTCTTCATAAATGTCCTGACTGCACTTGAAAACAATGTCCTCCATCATGGGGTGGAGGGTTCCCTAAGAGTCAGCGGGGTCGGCTTAGCTATAAGGCTGTTCCCCTTTTCTCTGTCCTTAGTATTTTTTTTCTGTCTCCTTTTTACAGCACCTCCTGAGAGGAGCACCGAAATCTCCAATTGCAACCAGTTCCCCCTCCTGTGTTATATGACCTGCAAAGCGCTCCAGGCTGTTTCAGGATAGTCTGACTTTTTTCTTTTCTTTCATAATTCTGTGCTGTCAGTGTGCTGTGTCTAAAAATGATCATTTCATATGTATTTGTCCAGTCTTTTAGTTATTTTTAGGAGAAGATTACTTAGGGACCTGTTGTTCATCATGGCTGGACGTACTGGGGAATCTAATTGCTCACTTGGCTTTCTCAGGCACAGACAATGGAGCTGACAAGCTGTCACACTGACCTGTCTCTTTGATGGGAAGACAGTGGCTTAAACTCTGAACATCCCCCTCGTCACAGGAGCCCGTATTTACATGTGACATCACCTTCTTAAACCTTGTCAAAGCGCCTTGCTCTGATCTCCTGACCTCCGGTGCAAACGTCTTTCCTCCAATCACAGTCAGCTGGTCAGCCTTCACCAGGCATCCCCCACCTCCTATTCAGCTTTCCCCGCTTTCTGCTGGTTCTCTGTTCTTTGTGATCAATAGGCTATTTTTACAAGCTCTTACCTTCAGAACTGCCCGTTAACATGATCCCAGGCTCGGTTGCTTTGCTACATAAACTTTCTCTGCTTAATACCAGGGTCACTAGGCATTTGCAGAAATCAAATCAGAAGTGATGAAAAGTGAATGTTATGAACGATGGCCATTTGGCCTTGTAGTCAGCAGAAAGCAGGCATTCAAGGTTATTAATCACACAACAGTGTTTCCTGGAGGATAGCTAATGTCAAGGCATGCAGCGCACCGTGGCATGATCGTCGGGCTTGAGGAGGGTCGCCAGGGAAACAGATCCACCACGTTTCCTTCAAGTTCACCTAAAGTTACTGATGAATGGAATGAAGAAAATAATAGAGACAAATCTATTGTTTTTAACCTTGGGTCTGCCTTGTTCTGAGAAACTCATTTTTCCTTCCTGTTTACTTCCCTGTCATTTGAGGATGGTGACTCAGGACTTATCTGTGCTATAGGATTATTGTGATAATGAATATGAAGGCGATTTGAAAAATGTGTTGAAAGAAAAAAGTCCTTACGGTGGAAGAAGGTAGTTATAGATAGAAGGTAAAGCCATGTGACTGAAATACCACCACAGGAACATATAGGGAGACTAGCATGAGACTGAATAATAGATCAGAATCTCACGACAGTTCATCACAGTCCGGTCTGCCCCTTTGTGAATTTGGCAGCATGCACAGCTCCTTAGACCAAATTCAACCTCTACCTAAAGGTGACAGCAAAGGCCTGCTTCCACCCAACATGACACCACGATCTTGGGTTCGACCACCGCAAGCTACCCTGTTCTCCAGAAGAGGATGCAGGATCCGTGGGGAAAGTCCACTCTTCTCCCTTGATAATCTGGAGCATAAATACTGTGATGTAAAGTTAACTACTATTGATCTATCTTACATTAGATGACAAGGGGATAATAGAGAAAAGAAAGCAAAGAAAATATTCGGTCAACACATATACAAACATAGTCATAACAAAGTAGGAAGAAATTCTTGTAACTACTACAGTCCTAGGACCTGCAATGGGTCACACGGCCGCAGCTGTATTTGTGACCCTCTTCCACTGTTCATCCCACATGGCCTTTGCCCTCAGCAAGCACCTTGGCTGGTGGTGGTCCTTTGCCCGGTAAGTGTCCCAGACCTTCATTCCTGAAGCATCCCGGTTATTTGTAGTGCCCAGGAACCGGATGGCTGCTGTTCTCCACTGACATTAATCCAAGGATGTGGTGGTACCAAAGGGCATGAAGCGATGCCCTGTATTCCAGACACACTCTTCTTCACCGCCGCTGTGTGGTGCCGTCAGATTCCGCCCTTGGTGACCAAGGTCGTTCAGCCCAGTCAGTCCCGTAGACCCCTTCTTCGCCTATTCAGTCAGAGAGATGAGGAGCTCCAGCATCCGGCAAGCAGTCTCATCTGTTGGTTAAATGGGGTCATTGTTATTTTCCTTGATGGGAACCATCTTTCTTTGGCATGAGAGCTTTAGACGGGCAGAGCCTGAGTTCACCAGGATGGGAGGCAGACACTGCTGGGGGGATCACTGTTGTCAGGAATGAGTGAGTCACTCTATTTCCACGTTTGGTCCCAGAACCTGTGGATCTGGCCATGGGAGAGGCAGCACATACATCAGAGAGGGCTTCAGAGCCTTTACAGTCCTCCAAAGAACCTCCTGCCAAACTGTTCGCGCCCTAGAGGGTAGAGCCGTCTGGCTGGGGCTGTAATTATCTTCAAAAGGACATTCCACTGTCTTCCCAACCCAGCTGCCTCAGGAGGTGGGCACACATGGCCAGCGGATTCCCAGCAAGGGCCCGCTGCCACACTTCATTCTCTGTGAAGTGAGTTCCTGGACCAGAAGCAGCTGCGTGGGCTCTGGGACGGAGGGCGAGGTGCTCTGGAAGCCGCGGAGAGAACTTCTGGTGGAGGCACTATGTGCGGGGAAGTTTGGTGGCTCTGGGCGATCTGTGTCCCCGGGAGTGTCTATTCCAGGAAGGACAAAATGCTGCCCCTTCCAGGACGGAAGTGGTTCGACACGATCAATTTGTCTTTGGGAGCTGGCTGGTGACCCCGGGGACAGCAGCATCCCGGGCACTCAGTTCTGGCCTCCACTGCTGGCCGATTGGGCACTCAGTGATTACACTTATGGGCTTCCATCACATTTACAAAACACCCTCACAAAAGCACCTAGATCAGTGCTTGAGTGACTGACTGAGGACGGTTACGAGTCAAGGTAACACATCAAAAGACCTTCACCGTCCACACCCTGGTTCTTGGATATCAGCTCATGCCCACTAAAGAAAGATATGCTTCATGCTTGGCATAAAATGCTGCAGTTTCAAAAAGGCCCTCTGCTAGTTTTTGTGATGTATCCTGTAGCAGGTGTTTGCAATCTGCGACTATAGAAAGCACACAGGGAAAGAAGCACCTTTCTGGTTGAAACAAACATTGTGCTCTTGGCTTAGCTTGTAGGTATAATGGCTTTAAAACTTCTGCATGTGCACGCATGTGTGTGTCTCATTACTGGGAATGGGACAAGACTGACCCTGCCAACAGTTTATGGTGTTCTCTAGGTCTTTTGGACGATGTTCAAGAACCTTAGGATGGAAAAAATGAAGGATCATGTGTGGGCCAGGCAGGATCCATTAAGCCCTGTAGCTTCAGAGCAATAAAGTGTGTGGCTGACACAAGATAAGGAACATGAGACCCCAGAGACAGAACGGGCACAGGGCCCATTGCCTGGTCAATGCTTCCTCCAAGTTAAAATACCCAGAGACACTTGATAGGGTGAACCCACATGATCTCATGATTTCTGGGGTTGTTTTCTGCATTTTCTCCTTCACTAGAGTGGCCAGGGGATGGTGCTGTGCTGAGGAAAGGCTGAGGATTTTGAGACTTGTGGTCCTTTTTTGGAGATCTGTACCCAAATCTACAAATTCTGCAAGCTGAATTCTCATCTAACTTCTCCTAGGAAACCTTCCTTAATAATTCATTGTCATTGTTCTTCTCCTTCTCGAAATCATTGGGTCAAGAGAGAGAGTATTAATTTCTTACTGCTGGTCTCAACATCTAGTCTGAAAGCACAATATATATTTTGAACTGTTCTTAATAAATATTTGTTGAGAGGATAATTATAAAAAACATGGGGAGGAAGAGACAGTTCTCCAAAGAAGAAATTCAGATGGCCAACAGACACATGAGAAGATGCTCCACATCGCTAATCATCAGAGAAATGAAAATTAAAACCACAGTGAGATATCACCTCACACCAGTAAGGATGGCCAGCATCAAAAAGAGTAAGAACAACAAATGCTGGCGAGGATGCGGAGAAAGGGGAACCCTCCCTACACTGCTGGTGGGAATGTAAGCTAGTTCAACCATTGTGGAAAGCAGTATGGAGGTTCCTCAAAAAACTAAAAATAGAAATGCCATTTGACCCAGGAATCCCACTCCTTGGAATTTACCCAAAGAAAACAACTTCTCAGATTCAAAAAGACATATGCACCCCTATGTTTATTGCAGCACTTTTTATAATAGCCAAGATATGGAAGCAACCTAAGTGTCCATCAGTAGATGAATGGATAAAGAAGATGTGGTACATATACACAATGGAGTACTATTCAGCCATAAAAAAGAAACAGATTTTACCATTTGCAACCACATGGATGGAGCTGGAGGACATTATGCTCAGTGAAATAAGCCAGGTGGAGAAATACAAGTGCCAAATGATTTCCCTCATTTGTGGAGTATAACAATGAAGCAAAACTAAAGGAACAAAATAGCAGCAGACTCACAGACTCCAAGAAGGGACTAGTAGTTACCAAAGGGGAGGGGTGTGGGAGGACAGGTGGGGAGGGAGAGAGGAGACTGAGGGGTATTATGTTTAATACACATGGTGTGGGGGGTCACGGGGAGAACAGTGTAGCACAGAGAAGGCACATAGTGGATCTGTGGCATCTTGCTGCACTGATGGGCAGTGACTGCATTGGGGTGTGGGTGGGGACTTGATAATACAGGTAAATGTGGTAACCACATTGTTTTTCATGTGAAACCTTCATAAGAGTGTATATCAATTATACCTTAATAAAAATAAGTAAAAAAAAAACATGGGGAGGTGGGAGGTGGCTTTCGTTCTTCAGTGATAATTGATGATCCATTTCTGATTGTCGCCTAGGTATTAATGAGAAGTTTGAGGTATCTGAGAAATCCATTCGTAGCGATGCGGGCATCGACTCGTAATTGCCGTCACGGACCCAAGCACGGGGCTTGGGCACGAAGGCACAGGGAGTCCGTCTGTGTTCTGGGGCTACAGCAGAAAACCTTAACATGAAAAACCTTCACCACCTAGGAATACTGGTCACAATTTGTCAGATATGCTCTAAAAAGTACACGGAGTGGAACCGTTCAACAAGCAGATTATAAGCATCAAGCTGGGGATGGAATGGCAAACCAGATGTGGTTTTCCAGAAGAAGCAGATGGAATAAATGAACGTCAAAAGCAAGGTGATCTTTCCTTTGGGTGGAGCCACGGCGGCACAGAGAAGGGAAGGGTGATTTGGGAAGAGGCCATTTCTCCATCTGAGAGATGAGCTCCTGAGCATTTAATGTGTTACATATCAATATCGTGTGCATACGTTTTGTTAATTTCCATTATGAATCTGCAATGGAAAAGACATTCTTTGTATGCTAACACCTCTAGAAATATGGATTTTTTTCTAATGCCTGATACGTATGTACATATGCATGTGTTTACCGGGTTGAGTATCACACATAGGAAAATACAGCAGCCTGAACCCTTGATAAATTTCCTGACATTCTGCTCACCTGGTGCTTGCTGGTATGATCTCCAAAAGTGAAGGACGAGGAGTTCTTTTATTTTCTGCTCCTCCCATCATTAAGGAAAAAGCTAGTTAAATAGAAATGCACTAGTCCCACTAATTTGACAGGTAACTGGGGAATCTATGAGGTTTGTGTCGAGCGCAGAGTAAGGGAAAGCCCTCTATTCGTCCTAGCTGCAGGGCAAGGAGTTCTGACCTCAACATTACGGCAGCAGATCCCAAGGCCCCTGCAGTGTCTGAGACATTTCGGGTGCTGTGTGGGGGCTGCGGCCAGCCCCTGGCTGTATGGAGCAAACGTATGCCTTCTTGGGCAGAAGACATTTTCTTTCATGGAAATGGCTTCTGGCTTGCTGCTAGGCTGACTGTGGACACTAAGGGATCAGACTTGCTCTTCAAGAACCCAGCAGCACCTGAGCCATCTGGGCATAGCCTGGGCTTGTCAACAGCTGGTATCACCGGATGGAAATGGCATTTGTCTCACGTCGCACAGGCCCTAAAGCGATTTGTGCTTAATACCTCTCCTGTAGACAGAATAAACAAACCGCTCCTCCCTAGACAAACACCAGTGCCTTTCGGGAAGCTACACGTGGAGGCACCTGGAAGAGATGAAAGCCCGGGTGGGGATGGCTCTGCGCGGTGCCTGGGCATCAGTCGGATGCGGCTGCTTCAGAACTGTGGCTCGGTGAAGACGGAAGAGCAGGGGAACTTGGCCCCTTCCATCATTCATGGGCCTACCGTCTCACACGCATCATCATGTCCCACACTGTCTGGTCTTCAGGGATTTTCTTTGCAGCAAAAGAACTAAGGCAGGTGCTCCTGGGACCCCTGGTTTTGGGGGGGGGGCAGCCTGTCCTCCGGAAGTCGTTGGTTTTGCAGGAACAGGGCAGCTGTTAAGGGTTTAGGTGCGATTCAAGATTTTACTCTGTAAGTTTGAGGTATTGTCCTTCAGAATGTCACATAAACTCTGGGACAGTGAACACAGCCAAACAGGGAGGATCGGTAGTGATTTTTTTCTGTCATGACCAGAATACACTGGGCTAGGAGTCCAGTGGCGAGCATTAGGGGCTGGTCCTGGCAAAGTCCCAACCTAGGACCTGTTGCCAGGGAGTTTTTATTTCCTGCTCCACTAACTATGGACTTTGCTGAATTAGAAACTAAAAGAGAAATGTTTCAACGGAAGAGAAAGTAATGGTCCCTTTTATTTGGAGGCTGAGACTCACACCTGGCAGTTTCGGAATCCTCGTGTCGCTGGGCAAATGGAACACGAGAGAGCTAAGTGTTGGTTGGGTGACTTAATTCCCAGCATGAAGGAGGGGAAGATGCCACCGTATAACAGGCAGGGAAGAGTGGGGATGAAATGTCCTCTGGAGAAATGATCTCAAATCTCTATCAGCTGTGGGTACGGCGGGAGGACTCAGGCTGGGGGGTTTGCGAAGGAGTCACTGGCACCTTGATTTTCATTCTGCCTCAGGCCTAGAATTTTTTTTTTACCATTTTTTATGCTCAAATGGAGAAGATGGTAAAGCCCTCTTAAATTTCTGCTTGGGTCAGGGACAGAGTATTTCATGAGAACAGTTCACCCTGTGCCTGGACGCCTCCGAGGCTAGTCAGAGTGGCTTACGCCTACCATACGTACAGCATTATAACAGCACTGTACATTTTCTGAATTTACTGGATAATCATGTCAGTATAGCTGAAAGATACCTCATTGGTATTTTGACAAAAAGACTCCATTTTCCCTCTCCCAAGTAGATTTGTTTTTGTCCGTCATGGGAGACAATGGTGGGCTGAGAAGCTCACAGGGACACTTGCGAGGATCAAGGAAGTCTAACAATGCCACCCTTCAAACTCTTCTTGGAGGACTTGGAAGGTGCCAGGCGCCATGTGAAGAACTGAGGACTGGGCCTCAGATCAGCTATGTTGCCGGTGCAGCCAGCGAGGGGCGCTCACCACAGCATTTCCTTCTAGAAGTGCTTGCAAAGCAGCTTTTTTCACATGTGTTTGAGATAATCTGGTGTATCATAGACACTTTTAACCTGAGTTGCAACTTTTCTTTCAGGTCTGTGCTGAGAGTGGTGAAATTATGTGTTGATGCTATCAGGGAAATGTTGGTCACACAGAATGTGGGCTTCAGGGTCAGAGACCCTTGTTCTCTGATTTACTGGCCACAGGAGAGCTTCGGCTTTGTAAGTGGGGCACATGCTATTTAGATCATGGGATTGTTGGAAGGACTGATGGAGAACTTGTACTAAAATACCTAGCGTAAGTAGACAATGGATAATTCTTTATTTCTCATTCCCAGACTTTTATTTCTCTCACTGCACAGTGATAATATACCTGGGCTGAAGAATTTTAAGCTGTTAGGAAGTGCTTCTGTAAAAGAGGTGGAAGAAAGAAGAGGATCTCCTTAAAGATCTGGGAACTTACTTGGGGGCTCTTTGATCTCCCCATTCCAGAGAAGAGGGCTGCCCACTTCCTAGCTCCTTCCCATTGCCCTTCCGGCTACACAGCCCCCGTTTAATGCGTATTTAATGCACCGGATCTGATCGCCCTGACACGGCTGTGTACCAGAAATGATTAAGGAGCTCATAAAACAGTGATGGAGTCTTTGTGAGTGTGATGCTGAATCTCAGAAATCAAAGTCAGAATACCGTCGCATCGTCACGCTCTGCCCAGAAAAAGGACTCGGAAAAATGAGAGACCATCAATGTCCCAAGGAATGTCACGGCCTTCCCTCCCGTGAATGTACAGTCGGGTGAGAGTGGGCGCTTCCACAGGCCGTCGCTCATCCTGCCGGGCCCTGTGCAAAGCGCAGACAGTCCCAGTGCCAGCTCGTCAGCCTGCACTAGGTCCGTGGGTCGGGTCAGTTCCGATCTGCCACCTCGGCTTCAACTCAGGGGGCAGAGAGGTTGCCACGCGTCCTGCTTCAATACCAGGGCCAGGCTTTGTTCTCTAAACTACTTTACTGTCAGGAGAGCTACTCTCATATTTGCCATCTGGCTCCGTTTGTATTTCTGTTCCAGCAACCAGAGCTCAAGGAGGGGAAAACGAGGGGGCCAGTAAATGGGAGCGTTTGGGATCCAAATCCCGTGTCAGCCTCGGCATCCTGGAACAGTGGGGCTGCAAGGGGTTGAGAGTCATTGTCCTGATGAGAGAATTGAAGACCAGCTGCATGACATAAACCACCCACGGTCACCCACGTGCCACTCCAAGAGGCACAGTCTGAAGGTCACCGCCCGTGACGCTGGACCATGTGCCGTCACTGCTCTGCTTTCTTCTCTGGGTTAAAAATTCCCAG